ACACACACACACACACACACACACACACAGTAAACCTTATGAACTTTAGTTAATATTAATGTATCAATACTATTTTATCAATTGTAGCAAAACTGTTAATCTAATGCCAACATGTTACCAATAGGGAAATTTTATGGAGTAGGGAAGAACTATATGTGCTCAATTATTCTGTAAATCTAAAACTATACTAAAAAAAAAGACTCTTAAGTACTAAATCAAAAATAACTGTGAAATTCAAATTTCAATTTACATCAAGTTTTATTAGGACATGGCCATTCTCATTCATTTACAGATTTTTTTGTTTGTTTGTTTGTTTGTTTACTCAGAATTGAATTCAGGAGCACTCAGCCACTGAGTCATACTCCTAGTCCTAATTTGTATTTTATTTAGAGACAGGGTCTCACCTAGTTGCTTAGCACCTCACTTTTTACTGAGGCTGGCATTTACATTTTTTATGGCTGCTTTTATACAACAGCAACAGAGATGAGTAGCTACAAGAGACTACATGATCACAATGCCTGAAATAATTACTATCTGAACCTTTTCAAAATGTTTGCAGACCTTTGCTCTTAATATCATTACCCAAGTTAAAAGAAGCAGGGAGCACATTCCATCATGGGCTATTCTGAGACAATCACTTTATTTAAATTATTTAAAGTCCTTAGAGTCACAAGTAATAGAAATTATCTAATCTGACCTGATTTTTAAAAACCTATCTGGTTAGTTTTGTTTTGGCACAAGATTAAACCCAGGGTCACTTTGCCACTGAGTTACATTTCCAGCCCTTTCTTATTTTCTTTTCTTTTCTTTTTTTCAGATTCACATCAATTTTATTAGAACAAACTCTTTTTTTCTTTTTTTTTTTTCACTAAATTGCTGAAGCTGTCCTCAAATTAGCAATCCTCCTACCTCAACCTCCCAAATTTCTGGGATTACAGGCATGTGCCACCACAACTGGCTTAACTATATAGCTTCTAATATTTAAAAAAAAAATCAAGTATATCAGTAAAGCATTTGAACACCCAAACAACAACTCACAGAACAAATCCATATTTTACTGAGAAACACTAGCAGATAGTAGTTTTATACTTAAGTGCTTGCAAAAATCTATCCCTTTAGTGAACACCTAAGAAATTAAGGTTTTCAAAGAAAAGGAGTTTAAAAAGGGAAGCCTAGAAAACAACGGTAAGGAGAAGCACTCAGGGAAGGGAAGGGCAGGATACCTAGGAGAAAAAAGTCATTCATCCAACAACAAAGAACTGAATGTTCCATTAAAGAACATTAGAACTAGGAATCAGGAAAGTGGATTCTGGGTATTAGAATATAAAGTATAACATTAGGAAATATACCCCTAGTTATAGTTTAAGAAATATCATGAAAATATAATATGAACTAGCTGAGAAAACAAATCATAACTCTCTGACATACTGAAGTAGACTTGTTAATAAAAGGCATTGTAGGAAGAATCAAGTTTGTAGAAAAAAAAGTTAGGAAAGCAATATAGGATACAGACTAGGGGCATAAGCTTTCGAGGTAGAGAAGCCTCATTCTGATCCTGCTTCTACCACTCACTAGCTCTAAGTCTTTGAGTACAAATTCTCTCTCAGCCTCAGTTTCCTCATCTGTAAAATAACAGTATCTCAGTAAATTACTGTAAGGATTAGATAAAATAATGCGTATAAAGAGTTTAGGGGCTGGGGTTGTGGCTCAGAGGTACAGCATTAGCCTAGCATGTGTGAGGCACTGGGTTCAATCCTCAGCACCACATAAAGCAAAATAAAGACATCGGGTCCACCTATAACTAAAAAAATATATATTTTTTTTAAAAAGAGTTTAGTACAGTTCTGACAAAAATAAAGTGCTAAATAAATGGTAATTGTTAATATGACTAATATATGTGGCTTGGGAAAATGCATTGAGAATAGACAGTTTTTCCAGAAACTGTTAGAAAATCTACCCAAAGACTGAAATAAAAATCTCTCATACAATAATTTTAAAGAATGTCTAAAAAAAATGTCTGCCATCAGAAAATTAAATGAGGACTTCGGTTCAATAAATGGAGTTGAAATTCCACTCACACAGAGAACGTTGGTTCAAGGGAGAAAAACAAAATCAGTCTGGTTTCCTCCCAAATTCTAAAGCTGGTGAATGCTGTAGGCCCACTACAGGTTCCATTCAGAGCCATCATAATCCCAAATTCATACCAAAACCCAAGACAGTATTAAGTCTTGCAGTCAAATGGAGAATAAATAAGTCATGGTGGCTCATGCCTATACTCCCAGTTACTAGGGAAGCTGAAGCCGGAAGATCCCACATTCAAGGCCAGCCTGGGCAATTTAGCAAGATTCTGTCGGAAAATAAAAKAAAAGGGGCTGGGGATGTGGCTCAGTGGTAGAGGGCTCCYGGGCTCAACCCCAGGTCGGAGTAAAGACTTACAGACAAAGCTGCTTCTCTCTCATTCCCACTATGTTCCATTCCATACTTTCTGACCGTCAAAACCAAACAAAATATACCAAAAATTCAGAGCTTTATCTGGAGAGCAGTTAGGATTGTATCAGTTTATAAGTGTAATAAACTTATAAATAGGTAATCAGGGACTCGAGGTCTGGGGCTTGAGTGCTTTGCTTCTCTGTGAAGACAGACTAGAGCCCTAAAAGTAAAAGCTGCGAGATGAGAATTTTTTTGTATTACATACACATTTCTTCAGACACACCGCGCGGACGGACGGACACACACACACACACACCACTGCAATCATCACCCACATCCCCCCCGTCTGAGAAAACGGCTGACAGGCTTTCTGGCGGTCACAGCCATCCTGTCCCACGCTTCCTAATCGCCCTCAAAAYCATCACCTGGTACTTCCCCAACGGAAACAGTAAAATAAACGACAATAATTCCAATCAAAATCAATCAATTTTGCTCTCACTGTGGCCAAGACAGAAGCCGAACGGTTCTGCTCGACAATTCCAGGGCCACGGTCAGGGGCAACGAGTGGCCTCACTCCCAGGGCTAGGCTCATCCACACCTGTCACCAAGAGTGGGCGGAAGTAGGGAGGAAGAAATCGGTAAACGCGGACCCGAGCCACCCCTGGTACATTCGCAGATCCCACTCACCCCACTCTTCATCTGGTCTGTGTGAGAGTCCTGGGCTAAAAGGCGACTCCATGGCGCCGGCAACACCAGCCGGCTCCCCGAAAACACAAGTTCCTCGGTCCTAGAACTCGGTGAGTAATATCTGGGACGGCGGCTGCAAGCGGACAAAATACTCCGTACCGCTGACGAGACGGTGGCCGAATGAAGACAAACTTCCTACTACGCTAGGGACTAGTAGGAACGAGCCAAGAGAAAGTCAGCAAAGCTAAATAGGATCTCTGTGTAAATGTTTCCCTTTTGGAGTTTTAACCTTTCCTGTTCCCCTGTTTTAAGGGGGCGGTGAGGGAGGTGAAGGCACGCAAATAGCTTCGGTTAAGTAAATTGTATCAATAATATTAAAAGTGAAATTTTGCAAAATTCCTTTCTGAACATACTGATTTGTTCTTTCAGAACAAAATTAGAGACTAACCATAAACGCAATTTAGTTTTTTCTTATAATTTTGTATTGATGTAAAAAATTCTCCATATGTAAAAGAGAATAAAAGAAAAGCACAGCTATTTTTCCACATTCATTAGAACTGTCTCTACTGGCACAGTATCCGAGGTAAGCGACACTATAAAAGTATACTTCTAGAAAGTCTACCTTTATGTGAACAAATTAAAGATAAACTCCCGTGCCCATAGTTATCTCCAAAAGATTAATTTCTAAAACTACTAGAAAAMGTCCAAGCCGAGCCTATACTAAAACCTGCAATAATGTAAGTTCTTAAACGTTTTATTACTAAAGTGTAAGATTCGGATTTTATTTAAAAGAAACCCACACACATCACGAACTCAAATTGAAAATGAAAAAAATCAAACTGAATTTGATAGGACAGTTTCAAGAATGCTATTTAATAGTATTTCTTTTTCATTCCTAATTTCAGCCACTAGTCACTATGTAAAGTACTCTATCGTAAGAACATGTATCCCTCTAGGACCGAGAGAAATCTTTCCCATGGTTACAAACAAAACAGAAATGCTTCCCAGAATTCTCCCAACTCCTCGTGGCTGGATGTTACAACAGATTGCAGAAGACGATCAGACCCGGGGCCCAAGCAGGGGTGGGGTGGGGTGGGGTGATTCAGGAAATACCACTCAGTGGTGACTCTTTCTGTCGTCATGTTACTAACAAGTTTTCATTTAAGGTAAAAATTATAACTCTTTCATTCTGGCACAGATACACTTTTAAAAACTGGCATAATAGGGGGGCGGATCATGAACTGAAATCGATTTCCAAGCGTGTATGAGTTTGTCGGGATGAACCCAACTATTGTGTACAACTATAAAGCTCTGATTAAAAAATGGCATAAAAATAGTAAGTCTTCAGTATCCACCAGTCAACTTAATCTTTTAAGAAAAGCGTAATTGAACTTAAAGCATTAAACATTACAGATAAGATTGAACTCTTTCTTCTACTTCGTTTTCCTCCCTCCACATGGGCAACTTCCATCATAAATGTTGTAGGAATCATTCTAGTATAATTTTATTTTTGCTTTTACCATGTCTAAATGTTTGTAAATACATTTAGAGTCTTGATTTTGTAAAATTTACACAAATGTATCATACTCTAATGTTCTCCAAATCACTTTCTCATTTGACATACTTTTTGAAGTTCTATCCATGTTTTAACTGTTACGTGGTATTTCCAAATACATATATATCTTTTTCCATTTCACTAATGATGGATATTGAGTTTTTTCAATTGCTTACTATTCATGTAAAATATATTTGTATGGATCTCGTTGTGCATTTTTACAAAAATCTTTTTAACATGTATGCTGGGTCACTTACCAAATAATATCAATTTACATCCTCACTATGAGTGATGAATTTTCTCTTTGCTCCACATTCTTACCAACACTAGATATGGCCAGACTTAACCATTTTTGCCACTGTGAAGGGTGGTACTATAATTTACATTTCCCTGACATTTTAAAAATGGTATATTCTTTCATATTTATTAAACTTTATTTACTGTTCTGTGACTGCCCACTATTTTATAAACTTTAATTATTGGGTTTTCTTTCCCTCAATGATGTGCAAATCTTTAGATAGCGTACTGTATTCATTTATATATACATATAATAATTTATATATGTGTGTATATATATATATGTATATATGTATATATATGACACTTCTTTGTTGATGGGAGTTTTGTCCTCTAGATTTTAATGTAGATAAATTTATCAATCTCTTGATTATGGTCTCCACTGTTTATATCTAAGAAATTCTTTCCTCTCCTTAGGTCATAAAGGCTTTTATTTTCATTTTTCTTTTCATATTTTTATTATTCTGTTTTTCACACTTTCTTTTTTCTATTCAATTATTATTGGAATATAGTAACACTGTTTAATTTTATATAACAATCTCATATCTAAAAACCTTAATTCTGGTACTCTAATATTTTATCTAGAAGTTCCTTAGAATTTTCCACTTAGAAGAACTTATATTACCAAACACCAACAKTTAAAATTTATTTAACATTTGATTTTATAAAATAGACCTTTAATATGGAAATATTCAAACACAAGAGACAATATAATTAATCCCCACGTTTTTGTCACCCAGTTTGAACAATCCACTATTCCTATTTTATCTATCCCCCTTACAATACATTTTTCATTTTGCCTTTTTTTTCTCTTTTTTTGGCAGAGAATTTTGAAACAAATCTCACACATTTTATTTTATCAATAAATACTTTATTTTGTGTATCTCTAAAGAGAGAAGGCCTTTTCTTATYTTTCAAAAGAATAATATCTAACAAAATCAACAATTCTACAATATCATCTAATACCTATTCCATGTTCAATTTTCTGTCTCAAAAATGCTTATTAACAGTTCGTTTGTTAAAAATCAGGATCCAGGGGCTGGGGCTGGGGCTCAGCAGTAGTGCACTTTCCTGGCATGCTAGAGGCACTGGGTTCGATTCTCAGTACCACGTATAAATAAATAAAATAAAGATCTATCAACAACTTAAAAAATATTTTTTTAAAAATCAGGATCCAAATGAGGTCATCACATTGCTTTTATTTTATAAGACAGTTCCTTTTTACTTTCTTCCCTCCATACCATTTGTTGAAGAATCAGAATCATTTGTCCTATAGAATTTCCCATTTTGTCATTCCGCTGATTGTATCTTCATGGTGATGCTTAATTTTTTCCTTGTCATTTGCACCTACAGACTTGGATAGTTTTTGCTTCAGTTTTTGTTTTTGCAATGATGCATCAAAGCTACTTTCTTGCATCATATCAGGAGGCATATACATATTGTCCCACTTTTAGAGATATCAAGATTTATCAGTGAGTTTAGAATCCCACCCCACCTCCCTTGTTTTATTATAATGACTAAGACCTCTACTACATAATATTGAGGATAAGGGCAAGTGWAGTCATCTTTTGACTTGTTTCCAATTTTAATTTCATTTCATTTAAAAGTTTTGCCATTAATTTCTTTTCTGTATTTTTCATATACATTGACTAAGGAAGCTTCCTTCCCTTCTAGTTATCAAGCTTTTAAATTTTTGTTTTAATGTTATTGAATCTTTAATGTTATTTGAATGTTATTGAATCTTTTTTCTTGAATCTATTCCCCATTCTCTTTCATCTTAAACCATTGGAACAGAATGAAATTTGAAAAAGAACTTTTGTCTAGGGAAGTACCACTCTTTGATATAAGTAAGAGGAGCCTCTGTCCTGTACCCATACTTTAGAGACTTAGCTGTAATTTGTGACTCTCTCCTCAGGGTAAAAATCCATGGTACCAAAGTATACACATACATACACACCAGCTCCTTGTGATGCAGAACAATCAAAGGGTGGGGAGACAAGAAGAGGCAGCCTGTGGATCAGAAGCTAACTCTTTGTATTGTRATATTTTGTTATAGAACCCCATAAAATCAGATAATTCAAAATTCAAACCTAGCACTCCAGGTTACTATGAAGGTATATTTGTCAAGAAAATAAAGGCTGGGACATCAATGTTTATAGCAGCACAATTCACAATAGCTAAACWGTGGAGCCAACCTAGATGTCCTTCAGTGGAGAAATGGATAAAAAAAAATGTGGCATTCATACACAATGGAATATTATTCCGCACTAAAAAAGAATAAGATCATGGCATTTGTAGGGAAGTAGATGGCATTAGAGAAGATTATGCTAAGTGAAGTTAGCCAATCCCAAAAAAATAAATGCCAAATGTTTTCTCTGATATAAGGGGGGTGACTCAAAGTGGGGTAGGGAGGGAGAGCATGGGAGGAAGATTACCTCTAGATAGGGAATAGGTTTGGGAGGGAAAAGGAGGGAAAAGGGGAATAGCAAGGATTGTGGAAGGAGACGGTCATCATTATACAAAATACATGTATAAAGATGTGAATTTGGTGTCAACATACCTTATATAGAGAGATATGATAAATTGTGGTATAAAGGTGTATTAMGAATTGTAATGCAAAAAATAGATAAATAAATAAGAGAGCTCATGTATAATGGCATAATTTGGCGTGAACATACTTTATATACAGAGTTACGAAAAATTGTACTGTGAATGGATAATTAAGAAAGAAATGCATTCCACTATTGTCATGTAAGAAATAAATTTTAAAAAGAGAATGTAAAAAAAAAAAAGAAAAGAAGGGCTGGGGTTGTGGCTCAGGGGTGGAGCACTTGMCTAGCATGAGTGAGGCACTGGGTTCGATCCTCAGCACCAGCTAAAAATAAAATAAAGGTATTATGTCCACCTATAACTAAAAAATAAGTGTTTAAAAAAAATCTATTTAGATAGCCTGGTTTGTAACTTTAAAATGTTAAGGCAAATAATATGTGAGCCTCAATTTTGTACTCTCATGGGAATTCTACAAATGTTGGTGGGAAGCCTGATGGGTRAATTTACAATTCAGTTAAAATTGCATTCCATCAGTACTATCAGATTTTATAATCCAATCAACATTTCCAGCATGACTTCTTTGAGGCATGTATCACCCTGAACTGTGAACCTAGACATTAGAATATAGAGGTTAAAATCTCAGATTCTGGAGCCAGTCAAGTCTTGATTCTAAACTAAGTTCAGCCATTTGCTAGCAATCATAACTTTGAGGAAATGACTTAAATCATTGTTAGCCTCAATTCACTTTGAGAATAGGATCCATCTCATTGGGTTGTTGTAAGGTTTAAGTCAGGTAATACACATCAGTGCTTAGCATAGTAACAGGAACATGGTATGTGAGCGATAGCTTATTTAAGACCACTACTATTGCTAGGCACTGCACTTTTTTTTTAATCAGGTACTAGAATTGAACCCAGGGGTGTTCTATCACAGTTACATCCCTAGCCTTTCTTTTCAAATTAATTTATTTGAAAAAAAAATTTAATTTTGCAGTACTGGGTCCTGGACCCAGAGGTATTCTACCACTGAGCTACATCCCCAGCCCCCACTTTTTTTTTTGTCACAAGTGAGAAGACTGGTCTCAAACTTGCAATCCCCCTGCCTGCAACTACTGGGATTATAGGTGTGTGCCACTAAGCCTGGATTACACAAAGCGCATTACATCACAAAAATCCTCATATTGACCAGATGTAGATACTATTATCTCCATATCATGTAAGAACAAATTAAAGCTAATGTAAATGATTTTCTAAACAACCATGTCAAATGGRCAGAGTACATACTAATCCCACTTCATGGAGAAAACTGAACCACAATTTACAAAGACCTGCTCACTTTCTGGAAGATGTGATCAGCAGAACCAGAATTATTAGAGTACTCTCTGACTCTATGTCAGTACTATCTTAACTATGACACAACACCTCTGAAATAATTGATTAATATTGCTGTTTCCAACAAATGTGTAAATTCAAATATCCTAGATTGTTATTCCTAATTAAAAATAGAGTCCTTTTGATTTTGTTTCTCTAATGAACAAATATGTAAGTTTTTTTTTTACCTCCCAAAAGTAAGCATTAAAACACTCTAAGTCTGAAAACTTTGCTCAAGATGTTTCACAAAATTTCAAAATTTAATATCCCCAAATCATTCCTCACTGGCAAATAAAATTATTACTCAAAAAAGTATCATTTTGTCTAGTTACCCCAGATGGAATACATGTTGTAAGAAAGTGGGGACTTCATCTGGTTTATTCACTGGATCACCTACAATTAATTGTGCACTTACTACATTCTCAGCAAAAATCTGAATTAACAACTATAAATTCAATAAAATCCACCTCATACTCTCCGTGCTATATGCTATGCTGTAGGAAGGATAGGCATTAAGTTGAGCCATGTGAATCTGTAGCTATGGAACTGTGTGTGTGTGTATGTGTGTCTGTGTTTTATTGGGGATCAAACCTAGAGCCTTGCACATGCTAGGCAAGCACTCTATCACTATTTGATAACTTTTCAACTACAAAAGGAGGCATTTTATGTAGGTCAATGTGCTTTTACAAAACTTTTAAAGGTTTAATAATACAAAGCAAAAAAAAAAAAGAACCAATTTTGTGAAAGCTAAAACATAATTGGAGGCATTTTTTTCTCATAAGGAAGTTGCCAAAGACTGGATCTTAATACTATTGAGATTTTTCACAAGAATCATCAGGGACACTCCCACATAGGTAAAAGATTAAGGTAGGCATTTTTAAAGAGGCTTACTATTCACATTTAAATTTTAAAATTACTTCTATTTTGGCATTTATTATACAGACACATGTGCACAGAGCAAAAATGGGTTTTGGTTTTGTTTTACAATGCTGAGGATTAAACCCAGGGGTGTTTTTCACTAAGCTACATCCTCAACCCAATTTTTTATTATGATACAGGGTCCACTAAGTTACCCAGGTTGGCTTCAAACTTGTGATCTTCCTATCTCAGCCTCCCAAGTCTCTGGGAGGTGTGCACCACCATACCCAGTTTAAGCAGAATGTTTTAGACCGTAAATAAACAAAATATCTTAGAAGCACAGATTCTTTCTGATTTCATGTAAATGYTCAAATATCTAATTATGTCCAATTTTAAAAATTAATAATGACTAAAATAAATTTAGTTTTTAGAGATCAGATTAAAAAGCTAACCTAGACAACAGGTTACTTTTTCCAGTATTCAAACATGCTGAGCTAAAAAAATAATTGCTAGTAAGGTTCAATAGCACACATATGAATTGCAGGTTCTCAGAAAGCCAAGGCAGGCGGAGTATTAAGTTTGAAGACAGCCTGGGTGAGACCCTGTCTCAAAATAAAAAATTAAAATATAAAAAGGACTGGGGAGCGAGGCGCAGTGGCACCCACCTAGGTACTCAGGAGGTAGGTTTACTAATATCATCCATTAAAAGAAAAAGAAATACTTTTCAAAATATGTCCAAATATACCTACTTTACATTACTGGAAATAACAGTGTATCTATGTGAAATATCAGTTCTTAAATTTTATACATAATTTTGTCCATCCAGTCCTTAAGATTATAAAACCAACATACCTAAAATCAGAAATTTTAAAAATATATGAAGTGCTGAGGATGTAGCTCAGTAATAGAGTACTTATCTAGCATGAACAAGGCCCTGGAGTTGATCTTCAGCACCACTAAATAAGTATATAAATAAATAAATTCTATATGAAACAAAGAACATATCCAGGTTACAAAAGACTTTAATATCAAGTCAAATAAAATTTCCATGATTAAAAAGCTTTGATTTCCATGTAAAGTATTCCACCTATGTCATGTAATAAGCTAACAAAGTATAGTTTCCACGTTACATCAAGTGATTTTATCTTCTCACATTCCAAATGAAATACTGGCCTAAAAACTGCCRTGAATGATAATAAGCAAGGGGGGCACATATCACCAACAAATTTATTTCCAAGCAAGTTCATAATTTTCTTGTTTGTGATCCCAAAACTGGCAGCATTTTCATTTCATCCACTCTATTCTTATGTATTTGAAAGGCAGGTGTTATCCATCTACCACATGAGCACTGTTCACCATACCAATTAAAGGATCCCAACTTGGCACTGCATTTTGGGCAAAGAAGCTGAAATAAAGCAAATGTGTTACTTCATTCATTCATTTTTATATTAAATAAAYACCTTTGGCAATTCAATATATAGAAATAGATAAGACATGGTTCATATCTTCAAAGAGTGAAATTATTGCATAAAAGGCTTTTTTGTGGGGGAGAAGGGTGGTACCGGGAACTGAACTCAGTGGCACTGGACCACTGAGCCATATTCCCAACCCTATCTTGTATTTTATTTAGAGATAGGGTCTCACTGAGTTGCTTAGTGCCTTGCTTTTGCTGAGGGGGGCTTTGAAGCATAAAAGGTATTTTGTACTAAGGACAAACAGATGAATTTCAGGTTGAAGGAAGAAGCTTTAGACTTGATAAGAAGTTTTTTGTTGCTATTGTTTTTAGTACAAGAGATTAAACCTAGAGGCACTTAACCACTGAGCCACATCCCTAGCCCCTTTTATTTTTTTTATTTTGAGTCAGGGTCTTACTAAGTTGCTTAGGGCTTAGTTTCTGACGCTGGCTTTGAACTTGAAATCCATCTGGTCATTAGGAAGTTATGGATGTGACATACATGGCTTTTAATCAATTTGCAATTTAAGATTGCAAATAAAAACATCATGGCTAAAGGACAGAAAAACCTGTTAGGATTCTGATGTCCTATTACTAATTGATATTGACACCATWCAAGTCAGATTTCTGACTATTTAAATACAAGTTAATGTTCCACTAAAACAGAAAAACTCCAAAAATTCTTAACAAGTCAATTATAGTTTCTCTAATGTGGTCAGAGCATTGTTGTTGTTGTTGTTATTGTTTAGTGCTTTAATTTATGCATAGTATGATGTAAGGATTCTTATTTTAAATCTTGAGCTACAGAAAATCTAATCATAAAACTCATAAACTATAAGTGAAAAAAACTGACAGATTTGATGACATATCATAAGTTTTAATATGTCAAAATATACCATAAAGTTGAGATAAGCGACAGACTGAGAAGAAAACACTTGCAGTATATTAGATAAAGCATTCTGTAAGAGTATGTACAGAGCTCCAACAAACCAGTAAGTAAAAGACAAAATTACAAAAAAAATAGGTCATGGATAGGGAAACAATTTACAGGAAAAAAAGTACAAATAGCTGGTAAATACATAAAGATATTGGTCCTGTGTAGTAGTCATAAAAATTCAAAATAAACATTTTAGTATTGAGATTTTTCACCCTACAGAATAATAAAGCTTTACCAATTTTATAATATCATTCCAAGAGTATGAAGAAATGGGTAGGTGCATTCACTTAATGAAAAGCAAATTAGTATGGGCATTTTGAATGATAACCTGCAATATTTCTAATATTTTAAATGGACACAGTTTTCAAGTCAGAAATTTTATTGCCAGGTATATATTCTAGAGCAAATTCAAATATGTATACAAAAAAGTATACACAAATGTGATTTATAACCTTTCATAAAAATGTCTTTATCTGTAAAATTGTGGTATATATGTGTAATAAGAATTGTAATGCAAAAAAAAAGTACATGTATAAAGGCATGAATTGCCATAAACATACTCTATATACAAAGATATGAAAAATTGTATTCTATATGTATAATAAGAATTGTAATGCATTCCGCTGTCATGTATTTAAAAAAAATAAAATCAATAAAACTAAAATAAAAAATAAAAAGGAATTCATTATTGATTAAAAAAAACAACAAAAAWAAAGTCTTTATCTGTGTGTGTGTTTTCCAGGTGAAAGAAGCAAGCCAGGGCTGGGGATATGGCTCAAGCGGTATCGCGCTCGCCTGGCATGCGTGCGGCCTGGGTTCGATCCTCAGCACCACGTACAAAGATGTTGTGTCTGCCAAGAACTAAAAAATAAATATTAAAAAATTCTCTCTCTCTCTCTCTCTTTAAAAAAAAAAAAAAGAAGAAGAAGAAGCAAGCCAAAAGTACAAAAGAGAAAAAGATAATTTGGATTTCATTAAAACTAAAAAAAATCCCATGTTAAATGTGTTTATGAATATGTCAAAATGAACTCTACTATTAAATATAACTATAATGCATTAATAAATATACACTAAAAAAGAAAAAAAAA